CTACAGAGTGAGTTCCAGAACAGCCAGAGCTGTTACACAGAGAAACCCTATCTTGAACGCCCCCTCCCTGCAAAAAACAAAAACAAAAACAAACAAACAAACAAAAAAACATGCCTTTTATCTCAGCGCTAAGGAGGTAGAGGCAGGTGTATCTCTATGAGTTCAAGGCCAGCCTGGTCTACAAAATGAGTTCCAGGACAGCCAGAGTTACATAGTAAGACACTGTCAAAGAGCAAAAACCAGTGTATATATGGACTCATGCACAGCGTACACACACACATACAGCCTCTGGTTCTGTGAGTGCATAACTACAGGAAGTAAAAGGTCATTTGGGGCTCAGCCTTTTGGGTAGGGTAGGAGGGGAAATCCTCATTGTCTTCCCTTAATTTGGCCTAGATTCCCAAACTCAGACTTCACTCAATGGTATTTGGTTTCAAAATGCTTTGGGATTGGACAGCCTGGAAAACCCTACATGCGAAATCTCACCAAAGGGGAAGGCTGTTCCAATCTGTAATGATGATCTGTGAAATGTCACTCCACACATTTAAAGCAACTAGTATAATGAACAGGATTTTTATTATATGTAGATGAAAAAGTAACAGCTTAGGCACCAGGAAAGACAGATCCAAACTCTTTCAGGAAATAGAAACTTCCAGAGCCTTCTAGAGGCTGTGAACTAGAAGGTAAAGGCAGTGTGGATACTCTTTCATTTTTATTTACTTTTTCTGTTATGAAAACTGTTGGTGGAACTTGAGGCTGAGAATTGGGAAGATAGGGGTTCTTTTTTGAATGTTTTTTTTTCTAAGCTCATTTTTTTTGTAACCACAGAGGAAAAAGTTTTCTTGCCAGCCAATCAGGAGAACTCTTTCCTTTATCCTGCCTGTTGCTGCCACTGTGGGGCAAGGTCACAGCATCTACAGAAATCAGAGACTTCTTAAATGTTCAGCCAGGAAGGCTGATGAGTGCTTTTCAAGGGCCCTTTTCTGAATTATGAATAAGCAGAATACTGCTATTCTTAGATTCTCTCTGCTTCTGTCAAAAATGAAGCCAAAGTGGGAGGAAGCCCTCTTCTACATGGTTGTGGCCAGCTGCCTCAGTGTGGCTAATACCTACATCATCATTTTCAACACTGTTTTTGTAGAAATGGGCTATTAACACTCTCCTGAAGCACCAGTGGCCAGCCTGTCCACCTTTGTAGGCCATGCTCTTCAACTCAATCATTAACATAGCCTGCATGCTCGTGGGAGTATACTGGTTACAAAGAAATGCCAGTACCCCTAGATGCTCCATGGAGCAGCAGAGAGCTCATTACCTTAAGGATGTCTTTGCTAGCATGGCTGTCATCTATGGCCCTTTTCAGTGGCTGTGGGTCTGGACCCAGGCATACCCCACTGTCATGCTTGTTCCTCACTTTGCACATTTTTACATGGCTAGTGACTTAGTGCTTCTCCCTATACAGAGGATGGAAGCCCTGGTTATTGCTCTGTTTTGAATGTGTGTCCCTATCAAGTTACAACCTTGCCCTTTGTCCACAGGAGTTTGAGGCAGCACTGGCTGCTCATGTGGTAGCAGGTGTTAGAGAGGCCCTGTACAGCCATAGACAGTACAGTAGTATCTTCATAGCCACCTAGTTAGCTTTGGGCCTGCTGTCATCCCTGGGCTTTGTGGTCCTCAAGATGTGTGAACATCCGCTTTCACAATAGCATCTAGTCCTGCACCCCACAGGCCACCTCTGGTCTAAGGTCTATAATGTTCTCTATTTCCACTTTGCATTTTTGTTTCAGATAAATTTAAACACTTGCCCAAGACCACATCCAAAGGAGAAAATGTCCTAAAGTGTAAGTAAACCCTGCCTAACTGAGCCTTGCCATTCCAATGGACTCTGAGATGACATTTTTTTTTAATCAGGGTTGGCTACTCTGGTTGTACCTTATATAAGGACTCCAAAGAGGTGTCTGGTCCTCAGATTCATTACAGGTGTTGATACTTAAAGGCTAATTAATCACTTGAAGACACGATGCAAAGATCTAGTAAAAGGGAAGTGGGTTCATCAGACTGGTCTATTAACACTTCTGTAGTCAAAAATATTTCAGAAATAAAGCATCAGGAGAAATGACCCCATGAATTCCATTGTATTCTAGGTTAGAGAGGATATTTGTCTGCAGTATCTTCTGGGTGTCAGTTAAGGTATAGGCTGATGACAGCCATCCAATGTGTCCAGAGGTAAAGCATGGTATAGTAGCACACACCTATAATCCTACCATTTTGGTGGTGGATGTAGGAAGATCATGAATTCAGGGTAAGCCTGAGCTCCATGGGGCTCAATCTCAAAAAAAAAAAAAAACAAAATAAATCAGGCTTGGTGATCCATGCCTGCTATCTCAGCACTTGGGAAGTAGAAGCAGGAGGATAACCACAAGTTTCAGGCCAGATTGGTCTACATAGTGAGTTCCAGGCCAACATATGAAGACTTCTGGGAAGTCACTTACCTATTGGAAATACCAGTGGCTGTCCACTCTGGCTTAATACTTTTTGTGAGGCATCACAGGTGTACATGAAAATGTTAAAATACTTTTTTTTGGAGACAGGGTCTCTTTATATGCTGAATGGTGGGGTTAAAGGTATGTGCCAGCATACCCTACAAAATGTTGTGTTGTACACTATGTGAAGATGTATTGCTGTGCTTGGTGTAATAAAAAACTGAATGTCCAGTAGCTAGGCAGGAGTGTATAGGTGGGACTTCCATGCAGAGAGAGAACTCTGGGAAGAAGGTGAAGTTGCCAGCTAGACTGGAGGAAGCAGAATGGGCAATATGGAGATGAGGTAACACCACAAAGCAGAATGTAGATTAGTATAAATGGGTTAATTTAAATTATAAGAGCTAGTGGGACAAACCTAAGCTAAGGCAGAGCTTTCATAATTAATAGTAAGTCTTCATGTTATTATTCGGGAGCTGGTAACCCAAAGAAAAATCTGTCTACAATGTTGTTCGTCCAAAATTATTTAGTCTCTCTCTGTTTCTGTCTCTGTCTGTCTCTCTCTGTCTCTGTCTCTCTCTGTGTGTATACATACTCATATGTACTGCACATACTGTGTTTCATGTGGAGGTATGTGAGCAACTGTCCAGAATCAGTTACCACCTTCCACCTTGTTGAGCTAGGATCTCTCGTTTCTGCTGTAGGAAGGAGTACCTCAGGACATCAAACTTGCACAGCAAGTACTTTTAGCCACTGAGTCACCTCTCCCCAGCCAAAAGTTATATTCTTTTTTTCCAAGACAGGGTGTATCAACCCTGGCTGTCTCTCTGTAGACCCAGCTGGCCTCAAACTCAGAGATCCACCTGCCTCTGCCTCCTGAATGCTGGGATTAAAGGCGAGCGTCAGCCGGGCGTTGGTGGTGCACGCCTTTAATCCCAGCATTCAGGAGGCAGAGGCAGGCGGATCTCTGTGAGTTCGAGACCAGCCTGGTCTACAAGAGCTAGTTCCAGGACAGCCTCCAAAAGCCACAGAGAAACCCTGTCTCGAAAAAAACCAAAAAAAAAAAAGAAAAAGAAAAAGAAAAAGAAAAAGAAAAAGAAAAAAAGAGCGAGTGTCACCCCTGCTGGACTCAAAGTTATATTCCTAACAGAAAGTTGCATGTGGGTCTACCCTCAGGTGTGGTTTAATATCCTTAGAGGGTTAAGCCACCTAAGGGTCATGAGTCTGTCACTATTGGAGGGTCCTAGAGTGTGCAAGCATCAGGATTTTTGTTGCTGCTATTGTTTCTAAGTTTTTGTTTGTTTCTTTTGTTTTTGAGACAGGGTTTCTCTGTGTAGCTTTGGAGTCTATCCTGGAACTCACTCTGTAGAGCAGGCTGATCTCGAACTCACAGAGATCTGCCTGCCTCTGCCTCCCAAGTGCTGGGATTAAAGGCTTGTGCCACCAACACCCAGCTGTTTTTAAATTTTATTCATGAATTCATAGAGAATATTCCAGATCGATGAGAGTTTGATTCCTCTTCCTCCAGTTCTTCTCCTGATTAATGTGGAAGTGTCATCAGTTATGACTCTCTTTGTTGTTAGAAACTATGCATAACCAATCACATAGATGATTACTCAAATATTTTTTGTTAAGATACTTAACCTTTTGGAAGAAGGCACTTCAGAGATTACAGTGATCTTGTTCTTACCCCTTACAAAGGTTATAACCCCTCCCAGATGACAGTTTTGAACCTACTAGCTAAGTAGTTAGACTGTCTGGTTTAAGTCAGGGTGCTCACTTCCTTGGCAGATTCAAAAGGTATTGAGGAGTCTGCCTTTGGTCTGTATGTCAATTCTCTCTTTTTGCCCATTTCACTATCTTTCACCTAAAACATATCTAGACTATAATGGAGAGTTTCTTTAAAATTACATATTTTTATGCATTTGTCATGTCCTGCATGGAGGTCAGAGGACAAGTTGGGGGAGTCAAGTCTCTCTTGCTGTGTGATCATGTGGGTCCTAGGGAGCAAACTCGGGTTTTTGGCTTTATCAATCTCACCAGCCCTGTAATGGAACTTTTATTTGTGACAAGGTCTCACTGTGTAGCACAGTCTTGCCTGGTGGTAGTGGCACATCTTTAATCCTAGCATGTGGGAGGCAGAGACTGGCAGATCTCTGTGAGTTCAAGGCCAGCCAGAGCCACTTACAGGCCAGCCAGAGCCACACAGAGAAACCCTGTCTCAAAAACAAAACAAACAAACAAACAAACAGAAACAGAAACAGATTCATAGTCCTTCTGCTTTGGTTTTCTAGCTGCTAAGGATTACAGGCGTGTGTCTCAACTTATTAGCTATAAAGGAGATTTTTGAAGAAAGCTCGTGTTGCCTACTAATTTACTTCAGGATCTCTCCAATTCTAGACCCCAGGGGTCTTGTCTCTGTATCCTCAAATACTGTTTAAGCATACATTATTCACTGGTAGACAACTGCAGGCCTATCATGCACAAATCAAATGAATAAGTGAACAGATCAAAGGAGAAGAGAGGAGAAAAGACACCTTGTCCCTGCAAAATGGTCTGTGAGGCCAGTATGCTCAAAGGCACCTGCCTAGTGCCCCAAGACCTGATCACTAGAGCCTCTTGGGCTGGCATTTGACCATTGCTATGATCTCTGAGATGCTTTAGGACTGAACCAAACCCACATGTGAAGAACCCTCTGGAAATGCCATCAAAGATACCAGATTCAGTGCCTTATCCCACCTCTATCTTTCAGGATATAGGTCCAATGATGATGATGTTGGAGCCTGCAAGTGGCACCTGCTTCAGAAATAGCATTGTTCAATTAGGAGTGTTAGCTTAAAGGCACCAAACACCTTAGACCAAGGCTTCTTAAACCTTTTCACTCATAGCAGAATGTTGGTGGCACACACTTTTAATCCTAGAACTCAGGAGGCAGAGGCAGTCAGGTCTCTAAGTTCAAGGACAGCTTAGTTTACAGAGTGAGTACCAGGATGGCCAGGACTCGCACAGAGAAACTCTTTTGAATAAGCAAAATAATGACAAAAAATTCATCACCCTTCTGACTGAAGACAGTTTTATACAACACTGTGTGTGTGACACAAATAAAACATTTACTGATAAATAATAAATTTATTCTAAAACAGTTCTTGGGGAACACACAAAATTTTAATCACTTTTTAAAGAGGAAAGCTAATTTGATACTACTGAGATGAGCATGCTTATTTATGTTACATAAATAATTAAATCTTGGCCAGGCATGGTGGTGAATACCTTTAATATCAACACTTGGGAGACAGAAGCATAAGCAAGCAAGTCTCTTTGATTTTGAGGCCAGTTTGATCTACACAGCTAGTTCCAGTTTAGATAGTGAACATATTGAGACCCTATCTCATAAAAAGGGAGAGGATGTGGCTGGAGAGTTGGCTTAGTGGTTAAAAGCACTTGTTGCTCTTGCAAAGGACCCCAGGTTCAATTCATAGTGCCTACATATTGGCTCACAACTATCCATAACCCCAGGTACAGATGTGGTGCACATGCATACATTTACACACATAGTTTAAAATAAACAAACCTTTAAAAATGTAAAAATAATTAAATCTTGTCCATGTCTGATGCTACAGGTTACAAAACATCTTCAACATTTTTCACAGTTGAAATCTTTTTCTTCTCTCTTTCTCTCCCTCTCTCTCTCTCTCTCTCTCTCTCTCTCTCTCTCTCCGAGACACGGTTTCTCTGTGTAGCTTTGGAGCCTATCCTGGCACTCGCTGTGGCACAGAGATCCCCCCTGCCCCGTGCCTCTCGAGTACTGGAATTAAAGTCGTGCTTCACCAATGCCCGGCTCTTTTTCTCTTTTTTGGGGACAGGGTTTCTCTGTGTAATAGCTGTGGCTGTCCTGGAACTCTCTCTGTAGACCAGAGCAGCCTCAAACTCAGAGATCTCCATGCCTCTGTCTCCCAAGTGCTGGGATTAAAGGCACTTGCCACCATGCCCAGCTAACATTTTTACCTTATAATTGTCAATGCTGAGAATTCTTCCTGTCATAAACACTTAGTATGAAATGGCAGAAGTATATTCAGAACTATTTCAGACATTGTTGAAAATCCTATCCTAATCTCAAGCAAAAATTCATTGAACATTTTTTTGAAATTCAATTCAGCAATTTAAACAGCAATTTTTTTTTTTTTAAAATCAAACATAGCTGGGCATGGTGGCATATACCTTTAATCCCAGAATTTAGGAGGCAGAGGCATGCAGTTCTGTGAGTTTGAGGCAGTCTGGTCTACATCACAAGTTCCAGTACAGACAGAGCTACATAATAGAGAGGCCTTGTCTAAAAAAACATAAGAATAAAAACACCAAAT